CTTCACCCCGTTCTTCAGAAATGCAACGATGTGTTTTGGATCATTGTCGTGTTGGACAAGTGCATGTCTCAGCAGTCTTCATCTCTTTCAGCATGGGCCCGAGCAAATACTAGGAGTGCTTTTTTGTGCACGGGCTTTAGGAGAGGCTTCCTTCATTGACGATACCCATGCATAACCATTTCACTGCAGTGTGTGCCGTATGGTGTCACGGGAAACAGTCACTCCAATTAGGCTTTCTACTTCTTTAGCTAACTGCAGTGAACTTGCATGGCGATTTTCTTCAACCCTTCTCATTAGAAGACTCCTGTCGAGATGTTGGCTTCCTTGGATGGTCTGGACGTCTCTGTAAGATGGTTGCACTTCCATCTTTCTTAAATGTTTGGATCACTGTTGCTACAGTATTCTGACTGATATGTAAAGCTTTGCTAATCTTCTTGTAGCCCTCACCTTTCTGTGTAAGGAAATGATTTCCTTTCTCAGGTTTTGTGACATTTCTCTTCCATGTGGAGCCATTGCAGCCAGCATGAAATGGGAAGGGCTTTTATTTGTTAAGCAATGCCCTTTTATAGTCACCTGTCTGCTGGACACCTCCGAAATGAATCATTAGAATATGTTTGAATGCCTGTTAATTCGAATTTTGTAGTCTTAAGTGTGGCTTTTCTCCTAAGACAATAATTCGGGCGTGCGCGGGGTGTTTCGCTGCCGTGCGTCGGCCGTGACAGCAGAAGAGGGGGGTGGACGCTTGGGCTGGCGGAAGGCCTAGCAAGGCCTGAAGTCTTGCCAGACTTGTAAGGCACTCGGGGAAACCCTGACATAAATACAGAAATAAAGTAATATGTTCAATGTTCAACCTTCTCCGGTTAGGGGCTCTTCAGGAAGCTATGTAGGAAATTTTTATTGCAGGAAATGTGCAGAGGGAAAGGCAGGAGGAAATCTGTGGTCTAATTTCACAGCCATTCCCTTCCGTTCTTCTCCATCAACAAAGGACCCGGTAAAAAAATGCAGCCCCCGAAGTAGGACACAGATCATGGGTTGTTAGCCTTCAGATGGTAAACAGGCGGGTTGTTAGCTACAGTACAACGCAGTCGTACCTCTGTCTTGTCTTGGGAAACATATAGATACACGTACCGTTTTAACCCCTCAATGGTATTTGTCATATTTTACATAGTCACGCACTCCAAAATGGGATTAAAAATACCGTTCTCCTGAAATCATCATTTACCTGGTGCAGAGAAAACGTCTTAATGATGGACCACAAATTCCCTTGATTCATCTCCCTAAATCGCAGGAAAAGAAATCTTCAGTCTTGGTCATTTAAACATTGATCAAGATTTGTAGTCAATCCTAATATGCGACATTTTATGGGTGAAATTATTTATGCTAGACATCGTAGAAACAACCATTATTAGCACTTACATTGAAGACAGTTTAACTGTACTTGTAAAGCTAAATGAAGGGCACTACTGCTTCTGAATAACAGTCTGCTGTTACTGCTAATGTTCTTTAATAAAACATCTAAATGAATCATTTCAGACTGTCATTTACTGAAAAATTGACATAAATTAACTTAAGTTCTTTTTACATATCTAAATATGTCCTGGAGAAGCTCCTTGTCAAACTAAAGCAGTTTTAGGTGGCTGTAGTAACATTTATTTAATTCAATTTGCCGTCAAGGTCTTTGTGACGTCCCTCACTTAATTGTCATCTTCTGAGTAAAGGGAACGATTAGGCCCTAAAGTCAGACACACATTCCTTACCTTAATCCTTCATACTCCTGTAGAGCATAATGAAATCTTGGCAGACTATGTCTGGAAAAACAGAAATGGATTTTCAATATCTGCAGATGCATCTGTGTGCACGTCACACCTCTTTCTTTTAAATTGGCCCTCTTTTGTTGCACGGCCTAGGTCTGCCCGGCTCCCGTTAGCCCCTTTTTGAATATGTCAGCGGGATTTTCAGGTCATTTGCCAGAGAGGATGCTGGGAACGTTGCGTCCGGGCTCTGAAGGTGACTGGTGTTGCTGTCATCCATCACGGGAGCTTCCTTTAAGTTGATGCATAATAGAGCCTCTCAATCAACTTCCTCACTTATTGTCACCTCCCTCCTACCTGTCCAGGATGAAGACTGCGAGCGAGACAAAAAAAAATGTATCCAGGCAGACTGACAGAGGAGTCAAGGTTACATCCCTCTTCTTCTCTTATTTACACTTGAGGTGTTATGGGATTGCTGTGTAACGTAGGACAACAGAGGATGGAAGGGCGAGAGGGGCTTGCGTGGGCACTCGTGTCAGACTTTTAACTGTCCACTGTGTCAAATTGGTGATAATAAGCCGTTTGAAGCCCTGTCCTGTTCATGTCGCCTACTCAGGGCAAAACAACAGACAGGACCTTGAAGCTAGATGTCTCTGTCAGGGAGGTAAATCTCTGCTGTGATGGGGCGGCAAACATTACGGCAAGCTTTATTGACACCGACTGCTCTGACACATCCAAAAGTGGCCCGATAAATTTGCAGGCTGGCGGTGGCGTGACGGACGCTTGTGAGGGCGCAGTAGAGTTACAACACAGCAGCAAATGTTTCTGTGACCTCCTTTAGAGGAGCTTGGATGGTCTGGATGCAGGCGGCGCCACATTTTCTCTCAAAAGGACCAACGAGATGGTGGTTTTTATCTCGGTAGTTGCTTCAAATGCTTTTAAACGGGCTTTTAAAGGAGTTTGGAACAGTTGAAAACAATGTTTGTCTACATTTGGTTCAAGAATGTTAATATTATACGGTATTATTTAAAAAGCTAATGCAAAAGAAATTTTTCACCTTGAGTTTAAAGTGGAGATTCAACGAGAAGCCTGTTCTTTTTGAAATACGAATGGCCACTCTTAGTTTCACATGCATGCCGAAAGCAGGGAAAAAAAAGTCTTCTACTCCTACTTCCTGCATCACCTGCTGAAATAAAGTAGACGGGAAAATGCTCGGGTCAGAACAAGCCAGTCCCTTCTACGTCACTCTGAAAACTAGCCCACCTTGGCTTGTGACCGAGGAAGGCTTTGTGGCTCGGAGAGCAGAGCACGCGTCTGCTAGTAGAAGCTAACCTTGAACAACTGGGTTTATGTTCTCTAAACGCTGAACTTTGCGGTTCTTAACTTTCTGGAGGATGTTCATCTCTCAGCGAGCCTTTTCAGGATTTTGTTTTTCCTGTTTGTGTGAAGAGACGGGCCGAACCACCTCACCTTCACAAACGGATAAACTGGTATGGGGGCCTGCAGCGGCCAAAATACCTAAGAAACTACCAAATGTCTATCCTTACTCTGCTGATATGAGTGAATACAGGGAGAGCCATAACTCCATGCTGAATGACCCACGTGAGCGTAATCCACTGTGTTGTGGATTTATTTGTCATGATATTAGCATACTTTTTCCTTTTTAGCCCGCCCCTTGTTACCACATGAGAAATTCAAATGGTTTTACCTGAATTAGAAATAAATTATAAATAAAAGTGCCTGTGGGACATTTGAGAGAGGTAGCTTTATCTTAACTGATGATTTCTAAAACTTTATGGGTAGAACAATGTTGAGATAAATATCATATATCAGCTAAAACCATGCAGATATGGATTTTGGTCCATATCACCCAGCTCTGTAGCCAAGACCAAAGCGTATTACTGACATTCGTAATTGGCTGTAATCTCCACAACTCCATTGTGGTTCGCGTGAATGTTTTTGTATAAACCCCAGTTTCACATTACATGGTTATTTACACAGAATTCTTTACAATCTTAATGAACTTATTTAGTTTGGATCGTCCGTTTGCTCATTAGTCTGTTTTCACACCACTGATTTTTATCTCTCGTAAAACCCTTTATGCTATTTTTATTTCCTTCATCCTTTGTGTTCTGTGACTATTTCAGCTGCAGATAGTTGTTTTCTCCCTTTCAGATGGTAAACAGACGCTTTCATTCTCTGAACTTTTGTTTATTTGCATCGCTGTTGAATTCAGAGCTTTTAGGTGGTAATTATTTCAGTCTGTGGAAAGGCTGGAGCTGTCTTTTCTATTTTTTTAATTAATTACTTCTGTCACTTGAGAAAGAATGACCTCTGACTTCTGCTGAAGGCTCAAGAAACCACATGAAGTTGTCATAGTTTTGTTATGCTTCTTATGACTGGATTGTGTAAAGACAACACGGGTGTGTCGGATGTTCATGCACATTATGTGACAATTTCCACAATTGGAAACAGAAAGCATAAAGAATATTGTGTTGCCTCGGGTGGGCTGAACCGTCTTGTCGTACTAATGAGAGCAGACGGTTGCCACCATAAAGAGAAAATCACACCACCACCAAGTGTGAAGCGTATTCATCTACGTAACAAGGTGTATTTTTTAGGATAAAAATTAGAGCGCCGCGTCCGTCTCCTTTCTTTTCAGCACCTCTCAGAGGTAATGCAATTTCCTGCTTGTGAAAAGGTAAAAGCTCCTTTAAAGAGTCAGCGAGTGGCGGGTTTGGCCCATGTCGGCACTTGTGTTTCTATTCATTAGAGGCCGTTTTCATTCAGCCCTCTTTGCCTGAGCATCCAGCCCATTTCCATCTAACACAGCTGATTGAGGATGGTCTGTAAATGCACTCGTCTTTACCCCACAGAGTTAATGAAGGGAGGGCTGGGCTGGCTCCCACTTCACTAACAGATGCAGCGTTCTGGTTGCTGATTGGACAAATTCAGTTGTATGAACATGGTTGATGCAGAGATCGGAGTTTCCGCTACTAATCTTGACTTTTGTGCAGATGCATTTGTTCCATATTAACCAAAATGTCCCAGGATGTTGTGCTGATGTAGAAAGGCAAGACGTTTGTGTAATCTTCCTTTGTTCTTCTGCGTCCAGCAGAATTTTTCTATTGGTAAAGAATCTGTGATGGTAAAACCCTCATGCATGTATCATTATAAGCTTTATTTTTCAGAATTTTGAGCCACACTCTGATTTATTCTTTTATTTCTGCATTTCTTATGTCGTGCCAGGTCACCACTCCGTCCTTCGGCCCTATGAAAACCTTCGAGCTGCTTCACCATATGACAGGGAAAGGATTATCAGCCAAATACCATTTTCCCAGGCAGCCATGTTTGTACCAGCCCAGTATGGTTTCAGTTCAGGTCATTCTGACCAACGGCTCCGACCACACACTGGAGGAGATCCATGTAGGAGACCGGAGCCCAGCGAGCCTCCACATCCACTGCTTTAACACCATCGGTGAGTTCCTCACTGTGAGGTCGGTACCCCGCTGTCGGGCACAAGACACGTGTACTTCTGTTCAGTACTGGCATTTAAAACTCTTTTGGTAAATTCAAATTCCTGTAATTGACTGTAACCAAGCACACACATTCACAACTCGGACATGAATCAGAAAACAAAAGGAAACTAATATTTGAAATTCTAAAAATCAAGAAGTGCTCTAGCTATTCTGCTAGTCTAGTATATTTTCAAAGAAAATCAGTTTTAGAACTTTATTTTTTTATGAGTTTTGAAGAGGAAGTGGAATTAATGTTAAAAATAAGGATCTGTAGGTAGGGTGATAGCCACTTTTGTTAATAATTAAGATCTTAAATGAGTTAAATAGCAGATTGTTATTAATCACATTCAAGACCAGTGAATGACACACACACACACACACACACACACACACACACACACACACACACACACACACACACACACACACACACACACACACACACACACACACACACACACACACACACACACACACACACACACACACACACACACACACACACACACACACACACACACACACACACACACCACACACACACACAGTGGAACTGTATACACTCTCAGTGTTTTACATTAAAAAAGGTTGATTAATATTTTTTCCCATCTGATGTATTTATTTTAGATAATTTTATGAAATTAGCTAAATCTGACTTAGAAAATTTGATGCATATTTTTACAATTCAATTCCCGTCACATCTACCTCTAAATTAAAAATTGATAACAGCATCACACAAGCTTTTAAAGGGACTGAAAGGAAGTTTGAAGTTTTTATGCTCGCGATCGCCACTCAGGCGGAGGACAGAGGACAGGAGAACACACAGCTAATTAATTAAATAATTAGGTTCTGTACCTTTCTCTTCAGCACAGCCAACAAAGGTTTATGATGGGTCAGTCCTCCTGCATGCTCAGATCATTCGCTTCCCTTGCTTGAAAAATTGTTCCAAAACGAAAGTTGAACCCACCTCTTATTTATCATTGAATTGAATGCCGTTCGGCGAGTCTCAAAGAAAAATTTGGGCATCTTACTGTAAAAAAACATACCATTAATGTAAAAAAGAAACTCAAAATGACAAATTATGTCCACAACTGGAGTTGAACCCAAGTCTTCTGCATGAGAGTCAGACATCTTACTAGGTGGGATAAAGCGCCAATGACGTTCGATCTATCTGTAACATTTATATCCTTGATGACACCTGAAACAACGTCAAACCAAAAAACGGTTCGAAGCGAAAATGGCAATTTTGTTGGTAAATTGCAGCAAATTTCTAGAAGAAAGTAGCTCAGGATCCTCAGAAATGTAGCTAGGTTCATCACTAGGCGTTAGGAACAGCGATAAAGTCGCTGAGTTGGCACTACATCACTCTCTGCTGCTAAAGCTACGGATAGCAAATGCTACGGGCGATGCCTGAGCGTGAACGCGCATGAAGCAGCCCGCTCGACCCGAGCATCTCTCTTTTTCTGTGATTTTACAGAAAAACAGGCAATCACAGTAAAAATGCCAGGGCTCATTCTACAGGACCATGGCATTGCAGGAGAATGTATGAAGAAATAATTTATTATTTCTATACATGTTTTGATTGTCAAACTTCCTTATAGTCCCTTTAAAGAAAGATTAAATGTTCTTCAGTAAACATTTAAAGCATTTGATGACAATGTTTGTAAAAACTTAAATTCAATTTCTATTTCCCTCATTTAAGTTGTTGAAAATTGGAAAACTTCCCTAACAAATGTGCCCAACTGAGCGGAGTCTTTTTCTCTCCGTTTGTCTTTCTCACCTTTTTCAGCCTTGGCCCGTTTTCATGCCTGTTACTCTGTGCATGAGGATGGATTATTAACATTTCTATGAAATCTTTTGTGTGACTCAAATTTCTATTTCTAACCAGTTTAGCATTAAACAAAAAACCCATAGATGCACTTTTAACGTTTCATTAAAAAAAATCTGAATGAAACCAAAATTTTAAGTGGATCTTTAGAAAAGTTTAAAAAAGAATACCCTGTGTTCAGGACGTATTTTCTTGTGAGTTTAATGTCTCACACAGTTTTGCAGACTTGCTTTTGAGATCTCTCCCTTCATATTTTCCATGACTGATATTAAAATGATCAAGTTATCAAAACCCACTAAGCCTGTTTACCATCAGTCCAATAAATAGGTCTGTCCCGTTCTCCTAACCTGGGAATAAAGCCAATTTTACTTCATCTGATCCCTGTTCATTAGTATCGATCAGGACGGCCATACAAACACCATCACCGTATTTCTCCACACCGCGTGTGCGATTCCACTCTCACGGTAATAAGAGTCAGGGAGGATTTCGGTGTGTACATGCTCAGAGACGCCCTCAGACAGAAGTGATGTGCGACGAAGCATGTTAAACCTGTCGATTGCAGGGGATTGATTGGGCATTGAAGGAACTCGCGCAGCCAAACAGTGGCTAATTTGGATCGACTGAGCCTGGCTGCTGCGAGAGAGCGGCTGGATTTACTTTGGAGAAGTAGCAGGAGATGAATACAGACACAGCTTTATGCAGAGCTGGTGGTTAGGTGAAAGGGTGATTCAAGACGAATGAAATAGTATTGTGATTTACTTACTGACTCTTCAGTGAAATAATCCAATTCAATGTTTCCTTCTTAGTTGATAAAGGATAACTGTGTAAATTTAGTTTTATTCCTAACCAGTTTGTTGACAAATTCAAGATAACTTATGATGCAGACATTGCAATATGTGCAACTTGAACAAGAAAAAACTAAAAGTTTCTTTTGGGCAGCTTAGCAGCATAGAGGAAAACATCTTCCAGGTCTTAAAAATGAAGCCAACATGGAAGTAGTAAAAATGCCAGTTCTACAACTCTGTTAAAATCTGGTCTGCCATGCAAAATTCAATTTAAACTTGTTAAAGATCAACTTTGCTTATATTAGTCTCAAGGAATGAATGCTTTGTTAGTCAGCAACACGAGTCTACCACCGACTCTGTTTGCTCTGCAACAGTCAGTGTTGCCCCAACGTAGGCTCAGGCGTGGCGCTGCACCACGGCTATGAACTCAACCCCCATCACCCCCGCTCTCACGGCCAACATACGACACCAAAACGTTCTGCACGCTATAATCCCCTTCTTCGCTCTCATGGCAGCGAAACGGTCCACGAATGAAACGCCCCTGCCCCCCGCATGGCAGCAAAACAATCCCGAGCGCGCCCCCCACGGCCAACGCACGGCACCAAAATGGTCCCCACCCCACCCTCGGTAAACCTGCTCTTTAATAGATGTTGCCTTTGTGGGTTTTTACTCCTTAACACTCACAATAGTTACAGCCTTGGAGTGTGACCCTTTATTTAGATTATGGTAAATGGTAAATGGTCTGTATTTGATATAGCGCCTTCTAGAGTCCTGGAACCCCCCAAGGCGCTTTACAACACAATCAGTCATTCACCCATTCACACACCCATTCACACACACATTCACACACTGGTGGGGATGAGCTATTATAGTAGAGATGCACCGATACCGGTATACTGGTATCGGTGCCAATACAGATACCAGTATTCCGGTATCGGTATCAGTAAAAGTTAACCGATGCCAGTAACCGATACCAATACAGCTGCTTGAAAGTGGCTTCACTGTAACTTTTCATTGCTGTTCACCTAATAATTCAGTTTTGTGATCATTTATATTAACATATTTAACTTTTTATCTACTTCAGTCTTTTCCTGTTGAAAGTAGAAGAAAATAAAAGCTGTGTTCCAATTCACAGCTTTTTTTTGTGGTAGAAGTGTATGTATCGGTAATCGGTATTGGCGAGTTCTCAGATCCAAGCATCGGTATCGTATCGTTTTAGAAAAAAATGGCCTTGAGGGCCAGTATCCAGCACGTTTTAGCTTAACTCTGCTTCAACACACCTGATTTCAATCAGCAGGTGATTAACAGGCTTCTGCAGAGCCTGATGAGCTGCTGCACAGGTGACTCAACCACTGAGTCTAGTTTGTTGGACCAGAAAAACCACTAAAACGTGCTGGATACCGGCCCTCGAGGCCCAGAATGAAACAGCCCTGTTCTATACGCTGCATGAGCCACGTGAGCGTGCTCTGCTGAGCAGTAGATTCAGTAACATCATGAAACTGGCATTTATTTTACTCCTGGGCAAGAAAACATTACCTGTATTATTGTGGCTGATATGACGCGGCCCACCTTTAGTTCCCAAAAATGGAATAAAAGTTTTTACACATGGATTATAAATTCATCATGAACAAAAGTGCCTGTGGGACAGTTGAGACACGTAGATGAAGTCTGGACTGAAGGCTGTGTCTTCAGACGGTTTCCTCTTTGTTCTTCTGTCAGTGGACAGAGTGAGACGGTAAAGCAGATCCTCTCCAGAGAGGCGTGGAGGATGTTTCTGTCTGCCTGTGTTAGACCTCCTCCTCCTCCAACAGTCAGCCATCAGCGCTCTCTCTCTGCAGTATGTGGCCTGTTCTGTCCTCGTCCTCCCCCCAGCCGTGCTCTCGATGCTGATGTAGTCTTTGACAAGCTTGTTTTTTAAGATCTGCCGGGCCTTCATGTGTTTCATTTCTTTCCTCTGCTGAGGCTACAGTTGTGAGGAATGAGATTGAAGGATGGGTTTCTCACACATGGTGGCCTTGCTTTGTGATGTAGAAAACACAAGTGGTTAAGATGCTTGTCTGTTCCACTCTGCTGCTGCGGCCCACTCCTCCTCCTCCTCTTATCTGTTCTCCTTTTACTGCATCCTTCCCCACGCTGCACACCGCACTCTTGTCATTCACATTTTCTTCTCCTTTCATCTTTCCATTCTCAGAGCGATTGGAGCCAAGGGCCTCGGTGACTGTCTCCATGGGTATCGACTTCAGCGACTCGACACAAGCAGCCAACTTTCAGTTATGGTGAGACAACCCACTCATATCAGACTTTTACATTCCTGCTGCTGTTCAGCATCACAGCCCTCCCTCTCTCTCTTTTTACCTCCCTCCTCTGGTCTTTCCTGATTCTTCTCTTTTCTCCCTGCCCTCTTTGCCGTCTCTCCCAGGTGAGACATCAGCTGCAATTGATCCCAGTTCACTGGGATAACAATTATTCCTCCACTAATCAGCACTGGCCCAAATCAGCCCGCTGAATGCCATCGGCACCACTGCTCAAGCAATCGATAATCTTATCAGAAAATCTGTTTGAGATGGGGGAATCAATCGGGCCCAAAATGCCATTCATGGAGCGGGATTAGCAAGGCTGTCAGAGGAGAAGCATTTCATACACAAAAAACAAAGCAGAGAGCACAAGAGCACCCACAATTCATTACACACTTGTGTTTGTTACACAAAGATGAATTGAAACCTCAAAAAGCCGAATCTTTTCGTTTTGGAGGTGGCTTGAACAAAGTGACTCATTAAACTAGGTTTACAATCTTCCTATTTCTGTGATCCATTTGAACGGGAAGTTTCATCATTTTAAGCCTTTTTTCCTGAAAAAGGAGCAATATGTAGGAATTTTACAATGACATAATTACAAAAGAGTCCAATCCCTGTCATGTTGGAAGAGAGGCTACATTCAAACGGGGGGTGGTGTTGTCAGTGGGATGTAGTCTTTGTTTGCAACCTGTGAGCCTGCAAGGTTCCCGAGGCAGCACAAGAATTTATAGTTCAACACCGGCAGGCAAAAACTCCAGAGTTGTTTAAAGAACCAAAACCAGTAAACTGGAGCAACCCAGACGTTATTTATTGTACCCTCAAGAAGCCACAACATCTAGCTAGAGGCTAACGTTGAGCTAACAATGCTATCGGTGAATTAGAAGCAAACGTTTGGCTCTAAAAATATCTAAAGCTACTTTTTCAATCACCAACAACTGGATATTACAGTGAAATGTGTGTGTGAAGTGAATAATGAGTCAGCCAGGGCGTTTGACTTCTTTTAATGAGTCGTTCAGAACAATAACTTGATGAAAATCAGGTGTGTTGAAGGAGAGAAATGTTGGTCTCACATGGACCACGATTAAAGTCCTAGAACCTTTAGCACCATTTGTTAAAATATTTTGGTGCAGCTTTGAATATATTTGAGCCTTTGGAGAAGAATAAAATCCACAATAACTCCAAACTTGGCTGCCCAGTTCTTGTATTATTCTTAAGTCATTCAAGAAATATAGTAGTAAAAATATTCAGCATCAATAATAACTGTTCAAATCAGATTTTAAAGGCCTTAATTTTATGCTCATGAACATTTATGTGAAGTAGATCTTAACACAGAGCTAGAATCATCAGCTGAACGTTTTGTCAAAGTTGCTGTTGAAAAGGTTTTTAGTGAAGAAGGAAGATTGACTGAATCTGAAACTTAACAAAAAACACCAATAATCTTTCAAAGCCTTGAGCCAGACTGCAGTTTTGTCTTGTGTGTTGCAAAAGTCATTTAGCTGCTGTATGAAATCATTAAAACGGGGAAAACTGTAGAATAGGGCATGAGTGATGTCATTTTTGTATTCAGCAACAATATTTGTCTGAAAAGCAGATCACGTTAAGACCCAGCACTACTGCAACAGTTCAGCCTGATTGACAATGATGGGAACTTGTTTCTTCATCAAACATTTTACAGAACACCAGAAGCACTTAGTCAGTCATGTTGCCAGAGTTGTGAATGAGTACATATTGTGATGTTGTCATTTTTGTTTTCAGCACCAATGAGGACCAGTTCAGCGTGTCCATTCAGCCTGCTGTAGGAGAGCTGCTAATGCCCAGCACCATGACAGAGGCAGACTTCTGCAAGGAACAAAGTTAGTTTCATCACTCAGGGATTCATTTAATTCAAATGTAGCTGAGTGTGTGATTACATTTAATTGTGTGGTCTTGTAGGGTAATTAATGGACCTTTTCACATGAAACTCTTTTCTCGGTGCTTATTAGATGATGTTAGCTCTTCTGAGGGTAATAGTCTTTAGTTTGGCAGTTAAGAATGAATTAAACAGTCTTATTTATCTTTGAATCAGAGACCTATTCCCAAAGTTAGCATAGTAAAGTTTCTGACTTTATAAGTCTTTATACACAAATGTGTTGTCAGAGTGATGATGAAACATAACTGTCACAACTAGGGTTGGGCATCGAGCATCAATTGGAACTGGGACCAACTGTTAGTTTCTCCCGGAATCGTTCAAAGTTTTTTATTTCGATTCCTGGAATGCCGACTGGAAGAGGAATCCGCGGCCGATCTCCGTGAAAATGAAACGTGATCTGCAAACTGTGAACAACGCTTTTCAGAGCTGATATACACTCAACAAAAATATAAACGCAACACCTTTGTTTCTACTCCGATTTTTCATGAGATGGACTTAAAGATCTAAAATTCATTCCAGACACACAATAGAGCTCCGGGAGTTGACGTCACTTCTCCCGGCATGCAACAGTTCAAATCGAAACGGCGCCATATTGGCATGCAGAAGCTGGCAGTTGGACTATTTGCTATTGTCAGAAAACTCAATCAATCGGGAAATATGGTAGATTCCTGTTGTGCCCCAGGATGCAGAACAGACACGGACGACAGAAGGAATGAGCCATCTACAGGATTCCCCAAGATCCGGAGCGCCGCAAACGTTGGATCATTGTAATGAAACGCGCTAGTGACCGGGCTTAAATGAAGCTGTGGGATCCCGAGAGTAAAGGTTTTCACTTATGCAGCGACCGCTTCATATCAGGTACTTAAACCAACGTTTCCTCAACTGTGTGTGGTATTTATTTTAAATGCTTTTATTACGATTCTTAGTGGGCTTCCTCAACTTATTTCAGCTTGGCTTTTTCTGTCTTATTACTCATAGCAACAAGTAAACATCACGTAAAACATTTCCTCGTGATTTCTGCGTGCTGCCGTTTCCGTGTTTTATGATACACCGGCTAAGCTGTATTTAATTTTTAAGCAATGATTGATCAATTGCCAGATCACACATAAAAAGCACTTTGGATTGCTATCATCTGTCTCACCGAGACAGATCTCGGACAGATCCTGAGACACTCCTGCCTGACATATTTATTTTATTCATGGAAAACAATCAAACTAGTGATTTCTCTTGGCGTTCATTCAAACAGAACAGCACTCTATTTAAACTACTTACATGTAAATCTGTTATTTGTCCATCCATCCATTTTCATCCGCTTATCCGGAGTCGGGTTATGGGGGCAGTAGCGTCGAGAGGCCCAGACTTCCCTCTCCCCAGCCACTTGGGCCAGCTTCTCCGAGTAAATCCCAAGGCGTTCTCCGGCCAGGTCCGTAAGAAGTCCGCTCCGACATCTTCTGGCGTTTTTAAAAAGTATCCCAGGGGCACGGTAAGGGTTGGAGATGTTTAGTCTATTTAATTTCTGACTATATAAAACGATTTCTTCGGTTTTAAAGTGTGAAGTAAACTCCAACGAAGTAAAATCCAAGCTGATCCCGTTCATGTTCATGTTTACGATCTGTGTTTGTTAACCTTTTTTTCCTGCCAGTATGGCGTCTACTAACTGAGAGTCACGTGGGGTCCGGAGCTCTATATTACCATTTCTCTTGAACATTGTTCACAAATCAGTCTAAATGTGTGATAGTGAGCACATGTGCTTTGCTGAGATAATCCATCCCATCTCACAGGTGTGCCACATCAATATGCTGATCTGACATCATGAGTAGTGCACAGGTGTACCTTGTACTGCCCACAATAAAAGGCCACCCTGGAATGTGCAGTTTTGTCTCAGCAAAATGCCACAGATGCCACAAGCATTGAGGGAGCGTGCAGTTGGCATGCTGACAGCAGGAATGTCAACCAGATCTGTTGCTCGTGTATTGAATGTTCATTTCTCCACCATAAGCCGTCTCCAAAGGCGTTTCAGAGAATATGCCAGTACATCCATCCGGCGTCACAACCACAGACGACGTGTAACCACACCAGCCCAGGACCTCCACATCCAGTAGGTTCACCTCCAAGATTGTCTGAGACCAGCCACTCAGACAGTTGCTGAAACAATTGGTTTGCATAACCAAACAATTTCTGCACAAACTGTCAGAAACCATCTCAGGGAAGCTCAACTGCATGCTCGTCGTCCTCATTGGGGTCTTGACCGGACTCCAGCTCGTCGCCGTAACAGACTTGAGTGGGCAAATGCTCACATTCGATGGCGTCTGGTACGTTGGAGAGGTGTTCTCTTCATGGATGAATCTCGGTTTACATTGTTAAGGGCAGAAGGCAGACAGCGCGTGTGGCGTCGCGTGGGGGAGCGCTTTGCTGATGTCAATGTTGTGGATCAAGTGGCCCATGGTGGTGGAGATAGATAGATAGATAGATAGATAGATAGATAGATAGATAGATCCATCCATCCATCCATCCATCCATCCATCCATTTTCATCCGCTTATCCGGACTTGGGTCGCGGGGGCAGTAGCCTAAGGCGAGAGGCCCAGACTTCCCTCTCCCCAGCCACTTGGGCCAGCTCCTCCGGGGTAATCCCAAGGCATTCCCTGGCCAGGTGAAAGACATAGTCCCTCCACTGTGTCCTGGGTCTACCTTTAGGTCTCCTCCCGGTTGGACGTGCCCGGAAAACCTCACCAGGGAGGCGTCCAGAACGCATCCTGACCAGATGCCTGAGCCACCTCAGCTGGCTCCTCTCAATGTGGAGGAGCAGCGGGTCTGCTCCGAGCCCCTCCCGAATGGCCGTGCTTCTCACCCTATGTCTAAGGGAGAGCCCAGCCACTCTTCGGAGAAAACTCATTTCGGCCGCTTGTTTCCGCAATCTCGTTCTTTCTGTCACTACCCAAAGCTCATGACCATAGGTGAGGGTAGGAACATAGATCGACCGGTAAATCGAGAGCTTCGCCTTTTGACTCAGCTCTCTCCACCACGACAGACCAGTACAACGCCCGCATCACTGCAGATGCAGCACCAATCTGCCTATCGATCTCATGCTCTAGTTTCCCTCATTCGTGAACAAGACCTCGAGATACTTTAAACTCCTCCACTTGGGGCAGGACCTCATCCCTGACCCGGAGAAGGCATTCTACCCTTTTCCGAATCAAGACCATGGTCTCAGATTTAGAGGAGCTGATTCTCATCCCAGCTGCTTCACACTCGGCTGTGAACAGCTCCAGTGAAAGCTGAAGATCACGTTCTGATGAAGCCAACAGGACCACATCATCTACAAAAAGCAGAGACCTGATCCTCAGGCCACCAAAACAGATGCCCTCCACACCTTTAGTATAACTCCGGTTTAACTTGGGCTAATAACAAAAATAAAAACTAGTGTGTCATTTATAATCCGCATTTTAAACATGAGTTGAAACTGAAGCTCAGAGAGGCAGAGTCTTGCTGCTGCGCCGTCCCAAAGGTGTGTTTTCATTGGTCGATTGAAGACAGGAATGGTAGGTTTTCAAGCATCCTTGAAGACTTTTTGAGGCTGATTTGGTCGTGAGACGGCTCAAAAAGCTGTCGCAGAGCCGGTCACACTGTACGTTCACAGCGTGGTGCACATAGATGCAAATCACCCTCACGACGACCGTTTTTGTCACGATTCTGCTCAGGACCAGGGAGTTGGCAAAGGCGGCCAAAAACTGCACAGTGTGATCCGTGCGTAAGTCCTGGTTAGTCCCGCTGTAAAGCCTATTAGGTTGTTAGATTTTAGGCAGGATCTGCCTGGAAGCACAGATTGATGCCATGCTTCTTTTATGTTCAGTATAATCACATTTTAACAGGAGGAAAATGTTACTTTTAAAGCCATTTATTTCTTTATTTTGGTATTTGTGAATTTTGAGCGCAAACCTCTTATCTATCGCCAGACACTGGAGGACCTCTCAGATTCTGTTTGTCTAACCTTAAAACTAATTTCTGAGCTCAGCTGAATAAATCTGCGCTCAGGCAATCAAAGGTGGGTTTGTTTGGTGGACCGACTCATCTCTCTAACAAATATGCTTTTATGTATACCAACAGCGAAGTCCGTTTCCTTCACATGAAAGGTTTGATGTTAAAACTACTTTTATTTCTACCTAAATTAATCGTGTTTGTCTCCATTCTGGCTTTTAAATCCTCTCTGAGTGCCGAGGAACTCTCTTACTGTTCACCGTTCGACTTCACCTCTCCACCCACATGAGATTATTTACATTCTGTGAGCTTACGAACACTGTAGATGTGCAGCAGCGACATGGAGAGCTGTATAATGGTTTAAATATCATCAGTGACGTTTAAAACCAGACAAGTGCAGTTATAGTTTTCTTTGTTGCTATATACAGTACGTTATGTTGATCGCTACACATTTGTTGCATCTTTTCAGAAAAGCTCCTGGGTATGAATGAGACGTCTGCCACCATCACCATGACAACAGCTAACACCTCTAGTCAGACCATCAACAAGCAGGTCCTGTCGGTGGCGAACGTTGGAGTGGCTCCATCCAGCCAGAACAACTTCCACAGGTGACTCGTTTGGACATTTTACCGAGACCTTGTTCCATTTTCTTGCTCATGGATTCTAGTGGGATCTAGGGCTGCTTGATATTAGGAAAACCTGCAATATTCGATAACAGTGCTCAATCTTGCGATATCGATATTACTCGCGATAAATGAACAAATACTAAAGTATGCAGTGTTGATGTCGTCTGGCGTGTGACGTCTGCTCTGGGTTCAAAGCAAACAAAAACTAATGCATGAATTCCATTACAACATAACATTTTTATTGAAAAAATATGCAGCTGCACCTGCTACTGTAGCAGCAAAACAACAAACTGCATGCATGCAGTTTCTCAGTGACTTTAAAACATCACCTCCACCATAAAACTTTTTCTGATGCTCCAAATACAGAAAAACATCCTTACCAGGGTTTTTGAATAAATAAAATATCAGAAAATAAGTTTAAATGTTAAATAATAGTTAACATCACTTAAATGCAACAGCTAATTCTCTCATTGCTACGGAGCATTTTCTCCACTTATGTGGTTATGATATAAGGCTGTTGCTGCAATTGGGAAGTGAACTGTGCTGGGCCAAACTAGGAGAATATTAAGATTTTCTGAGGGAAAGAGAAAAACAATTGTCTACCTTTCAGAAGAGGAACTGGCAAAAAAAAAAACTACATGGAAAATATGTGAAAACGTTTGTTTTTAACCCCAAATTGAACAAGTTTACCTAGATCTTAAAAAGCACCTCAGATGATGAAACTGCAACTATGATTCTGGTAACAAGCTAACAAATTAAACTAGCTCCTCTTAAGATAACCGGCTAGCAGAGCTTCTGACTGACAGTTTATGTGCAGCAGCAAATCAACTATCCTGATTAACAAGGTTATAAAAGCTCTTAAATGAAAAATCACTTTGATGTGTGGGGGAACTTTTCCAGGCCCTCTTTAGCAGGGTGGGACTGGGAGGAGAGTGCTGTAGCCTTTTAGCTGGAAGCTAACCGGAGCCTGGGGCTAACATCACCAACCGGTGGAACACTAGCGACATGGAGGTGGGTTGGTTCACCGGCACGTGTCGGAGTCAGCCCGGTAAAAATGATTAACGGCACCGAGCGGACTCACGTTCACTTTCGAAAGTAGCGCGGATTCCAGAAACCTCAGCACAAAGTGCGTTCGTTAATCTGAGCCAGCATGACGAACAAGGGAACGGCGCCGCTATCTCAGTTCGGGTGTTGCTTTCCATTCTAAGGGTCTACGTAGGGGGCGGGCGTATTACGTGAACGGACCCATCTGATTGGCTGCATATCAGAAGGGCTACATTTGATTGGTCAAATAATACTTCCGCGTAAAAAACAGAGCTGGTTTACAAAAAGTTGATGTATGACATGGATGGAAATGTTTGAACCAAACATTTATCGCCATTTTTGACGTGCTTTGCGATGGGCGTATCGCACGTCCTGTTATACCGATGACGATAATTTTTTGATATATTGTGCAGCCCTAGTGGGATCCATTCAGCACCGAGGATCCAGGTTGTTTTAGGGTCAAGTTTGATCACATTGCTAAGTGGTTATAAGGTAAACAACTTTTGTTCATATAGGATTCACGGGTTAGATTCTTCACGTTAATTCAAAAAGTAATCAGGGATTGTGCCCATTATAATACAACATCCTCTGTTCACACGTCGCTGGCGTAGAAACACCATCACAAACACCTGTCGATGCTGGAGGAGCAGCAGCCCCTCCCAGATATCAGAGTTCCTCACCTTGTTGCAGCCAATCAGAGGACGGCTGTGTGTGGCCAGAAACTGCTTATTATCATTAAAGTGACAGGGCCCTGACACAGCTCATTCTGGAAGGTACTGAAAACATCAAGAATAGAACAGAAATGGCTTTATGTGAGAGGGATTTATTACCCAGAACTTTATAAACATGTTTTTATTCACCAAAGAACAGATATAACTTTTTAAAATGACCCTTTAAGCACAGTGTTTATAAATGTTCCTCACATTTCCAGCTGGGGCGGTGCATCCCCTTTTTTACACTTCCTGTGTGAACCGTCAAAGTAAATATGGACCAAATTATCCTGAAATCAACTTTTAACACACAAAAAAAGTCTCGATTAGATTTATTTAATGTATAAATACACATTAGAATCTCATCTGTGTAGTGACGGTTGCTCGTCGGTGCTTCATTTGGTTTGAATGTTTGTCCTGAAACTAGAAAAGTGGATGTTTAACAGCAGATGTGTCCTTTTGAAACTGGAGTTTTGATGAACTCTGTCTGTGTCCCAACACACACACACACACACACACGCACACACACGCACACACACACACACACACACACACACACACACACACACACACACACACACACACACATGCCAGGGGAATGCCCTGAGAAGCCTGGCTGTGTAATTGGTGTACACAGAGTGTGCTAATGAGCTTCCTCTTCTGTCACGCACACCCGAACACCTGATAGATAATTACACCTCCCGCTCTCCCTCTGTTTCCTGCTTTGTCTCTCTTTCACTTCATCTCTGCTCCCCCATCTGTCTCACCCCTAGCGCCGCTGTCTCTCCTTCACTTCCTCTTTGTCTTTGTGTTCCTCTCCTCGTCTCTTTCTGTTCGCCTGTTTCCACCTGACTGTGGTTTGCTCTCCGTCTTCGGAGAATCTTGTTCCTGTGATGATTTCTTTATAGATTCAGGTTGGAATAAAGGACAAACATTAGAACCGGGATAAATAAGGAACAGCAAGGAAGTTGGGAGTGAAAAATAGAAGACAGACGTATACACAAGGGCACAGGGAGCTGAAAGAGTGAGTGGAAATCAATGCTAGCCAGTGGGAGAAGCCTGCTTCCGATATGTCCATACTTCATTCAGAATAACCAATAGCTCAGGTGACTCCACGCTATCAATCTCTTTTCTGCTTCTGTGACGGCTCAAGAGGAACCCACTGTCCCTCAGTAATGAAGACACTCTTCCATGCTGTCCTCATGATGACCAGCTTTCCTTTGGAGGTCCGTTTATTGGAGGTGATGGAGTTCCTCGCTGACAGAATCCACTGTAAAGTTAAGCACCCAGGCTCACAGGCACATCTGAGATGTGGATGCAGAGGAGGGGGACTGAAGGTGTTTTCGTGTTTCATTCTTAAGTTCTGCCAGCCACTAACCAAGGGTTTACTACACCTACTGGTGTTATCAGAGCTTCGGACGTTCAGGTGATGAGTTTACCTGGACAGGAAACCTAATATACACAAATGCAGGTTATATTTGACTAACTGAATAGGTAGTCGGGCGAGTTTCTGCTAATTTGTAAGAAAATTCTAAAATCAGGCACAAAAAATACAAAATTACAATCATAATATTTCTGGCTTCATCTGAACGTTAACATAAAATATTAGCACGTGTAAATGTTCTTTGTCGAGGCTCTTTTTTTCCTTTTACCCTCAGAACAACAGTATATATTTAAGTCCCATTAATTAACCATCAGAACTTTTCTGCCCCATAATGTCTTTATTTTTAAATATTATATAAATAACAAAGAAGAAAATCCTAAAGGGGGCGGAAACCTCAAACTTCACAGGCTTTGAGCAGGAATAACTAACTATTAGAGCTAATTAACATAAATGGCTAGTTTTTACATCGATTACTGGTGTGTTGCTGCTATATAATAGCACACACGTGAGATTAATCATTCAGGTCGGATACACCCACTGAGAGTCGTTTGTAAAGGTCACTTTCCATTAAATCTGATCCCTAAGATTCCTCGTTTTCACCTCCAGTCTGCTTCAGGGAAGATTGTCCTGAAATCTGCTTGAAGAGGCCCGTTTGGTTTGACGGTGTAAATAGTAATCTCAGTATGGACCACATAAAAGATCTAGTCCAGAGCGTGTGTTTATAACTGACCCCAGATGCACGGAGATATCGATTAGTCCTGGAATGAAACTCGAACGGCATTTGTCTGCTTCCCTGCACTGCCCCCGTCGACCAGCAGGGTGCAGCACTGCTTCTCTCAGACAAAGCCTAACCAGAGGGGAGTGGGGGGGCGGGGGGAGCAGGATGCCACTGAAACACAGAAATTGATTGCTGGAAAGGGGGATGGCAATAAATCAAGCAGGAAAGCAAATGTAGAAAACGCTGTTCTTGTTTATGTCTAAACAGGCGGAATAGAATAAATGTGCTCTATTTTTCAGTCCGTTTGAAAGCAAATTTGATCGAATTTAGCATGCATGGCCAATCCCTCTGGTTAGTGCCTAATTTACAAAAAACAAGACTGAACTCTTTGATTTATAAGCTGTGCTTTCTCTTTACATTGGATTATAATTAGATTACGTTTTATCTAAACACGGGTTTTTCCTGTCTTCAGCTCTTGTTCCTGTTCTGGATCTAATAGACGATCATTTATAACCTGACAAATTAAACCACCGCCTTCCTCTGTAGAAGACACGAGTCAACCCGCTCCTCTTCACATCTCTTTCCTCGTCCTGTGTCTTGTCCATCTGTCCCCTCGTGGTCCACCCGCCCTCTGCGTGCTCCTCTGCCGTCCGCCCGTATGGCCGAGCTGTGTGGAGACGTGCAGAGGGTTCCAGAGTCTAATTGGAGCTAATGGCTTTGGCCGTTTGCCTGGTTCGAGTCTGTTCTCATGCTTTGAGTTCTGATCTGGCCTAAAGGTGCTCGTGGCCCCGCCGCTGGCCGAGAACCAGCCGCGAGCACAGCTGCAGCTCGGCTTCTCTGATGAGAGTATGTAGTTTTCTTCTCACTCGACTAGCTTATTTGCGGAGAATAAACCCTGTTAGGATGTTTGGTGAAGCTGCTCCGTTTCTCTGGCCAGGCCCAACCCTTTGTGGCCAGTTCGCTCTGCCTGTGCATGGCTGGATGTAAAGGTGCAGCTGGGTGGAGGGGGAGGCAGCTGGCACTCCCAGGCTCTCCACACTGAGGAGAATCACAGATAATTGGAGAGCGATGCTTAGCCGCAGCCTTGCCGATCGATGTCAATCCACCTGCTCTAAGTCCAGGGGTTATGCTTTGCTTTTCTTTCCATACGCCGCAATTAATCCGGCATTTATCCCAGTATGTGGAGAGAGCAGAATATCAATGACCCGTTTATCACGCGCCCGACCCTAATCGCTCTCTTCTAGTCCATAACGGCACGCTGATGCTGTGCTAAATCCAGATGTGAGCTGGTTTTCTCAGAAAGCACTCGGAAATGAAACCCAGTCGGAAGGCACGCAGCAGCGTCTCCTGAGACGGGATGAAAGCTG